TAGTAAATCGAAAGCCTTCTTTTTTCGGAAATTTTAAACTTTAGGCAATTTCTTTACGTTATTGTTCTTACTGGTTTGAATTGAATATTTTGGATCTTAACTCAGACACATGCGGTAGATAATAATAATGTATTAATCAGTAAATTATAATACCTACATGGGTTCATTATAATTTGATGAATAAATTGATACTTCCACTAAGGGTAACACCCTGTGTGTGGGTGAAGAACAATTACAGAACAATTGAAAAACAGAACAACTATGACAATTGAAAACAGTGAGGGTCAAAATATTTCATCTGATTCGGTATTCACAGTTTTTGTATATATAAAAACACTAAAAAGAATTGGGACAATAAAGAATCACTGAATATAATACGCTCAATATAAAATAAACACAATAAACATCTGAAAGTATAATCTTTATATAAAAAATATTTGCAATCTGGCAACACTGTTCGCAAATCTCATTCTAAACCCTGTTCGATTGTCCTTCGTCATAAACTGTGGATGAAAAGTTGTGGGTAACTTCACACTAATAGTTTTCTATGGTTGGGTTCCGATAGCTTAACGTTGAGCTGGTAAAAACCAAGATATATCCTTTAAATGAAGGACAAAAAATTCTGGAGCAGAGTACAAAAGTGTAGCCTAAAAATAAATATGAAAATTCAAAGTGATTCTGCTAGCTTGAAAGGGGTCGTGTTTTTATCTGACGAATCACATCGCATCAACGATTTCATCAGGTGCCTCTTACATAATTTATTTAATTTGTACCAAACATCTTCCATAATTCCACATGTGAATACAATATCTAAATATAACAGCACGGGCGCATATAACTTAAATTTGACAGTCAACTGGCAAGAAAACTCCCGTCCTGAATATATTCGTGCGCTGAACATTTCTTGGAGCGAGTTCATTTCGCGGTTCCAACGAAGATATTCTAGATTTTAAGAAAAAAACCCGTGAAGATCGAATTTGTTGATGAATATTCAATAATAATAATTAGACGGTTTAAATAAATGCATGTGTTGAACCTTTCAACTTTTGAGCCTCGTTTTGAGCTACAGAGTAATAAAATCTTTATAATACATTATTTTTCATCTTTACTTTGATGACTTCCTAGAGATGTTGATGAAATTTACCACACGCCTTCTGAGTACCAACAGCCATTTTTAATGTGGACAGAAATTAGACTAAATACAATACAATAAGTACTTTATTTTCCTCAAACATTTTTACAAGCATGGAAATCGTCACATACAGTACAATGTTGTTGATTATTATTGGAGATGTCGTCAACGAATAAGAGAAAGAGATTAGGACCCAGGACGCTACCTTGGGGAACTCCTGTTAAGATGTTACGACTTTCAGAAGGATATATTCCCGATTTGAGTCTAACCTTAACAGATTGTGATCTGCCAGTCAGATCAGTCTCAAACCATTGGCCGCAAACTCCAGTGTCATAAAGTTTATGGCTGATGGTGTCAAATACATGTGATAATTAAAAAAGAATACTGATTGATTTTTGGCCGCTTTCAAATTTGGATAAAACCCGATTGACCAGAGAAAGAATAGCATCTTGGGTTGATAAACCAGATTGGAATCCGTATTGGCTCTTAGAGAATAGGTTATACTTCTTACAGAAGGATACAAGTCTGTTGAGAAAGGATTTTCCCAACATTTTTTAATTTGGAGGTTGTAGTTGGAGATTATTGCTAAAATATTATGCACGCCACTGCTTTTCCACCTGCTGATATGCAAGCTTAAGCTTTTCCAAGCTTTCCTTTCAATTTTCTCCATTTTGCTGTATTTCTCATAGTGTCGCGGCAAGTTATTATGAGATTTTTCAACTCCTCTTCAGTATTTATTGGATGCCGCATCTTAATGTCTCCAAAGGAAAAAATCAAGAATGTTCAGATCTGGAGATTCAGGTGGCCACTATTGTGATTCTGCGCGCCCTATCCAACGATTATTGTACCTACTATTGATTTTAAAATGTCCGTGCCTGAAGAGTGAAACCACATACGAAGTTGAGGTAAAATAGAGACGTCGTCTATCAAATTTGTTAAAAGCTGGTGATGATAATTTCTCTTCAATCTACCTGGTAGAAAATAAGGCCAAATTGAATAGTTACATAGAATTCCATCCCCTTAGGGGTTGGAATGTATGACAGAAATGTGTGGCAGAAAATCCCGAGGAAGTAGGGCCTGGATTCGTTAAATACTTCAAGGATAGGTATAACAAATAATCATGAAGAATTCTCCATACTAGAACATGACTTATCTTTGATATTTGGTAGCTTTTTGGTTCAAATCAACCGTTTCAGATAACTTTCTTTGAGTTACTGAAATAGTTCGTGCATAGGGAACTATTCTGTATAGACAACGCTATCGATATAATCGTTTGGCTTCAAAAGCATTGACGTCAGCAAATCCATACAAGTAAAGGAAATATCAGCAAACTCAGCACTAATGGAATTTATCGTGATAGTTATACGTTTAAACGGCATTACGTTTTTAAAATTCGAGTTGAATTGAAAATAGTGTACTCAAATTAATATCTGACAAAACCATTTGTCATCAATTATTTTGTAACCTCTGTTGTCTCAACAACAAAGTACATAACACGCATTTTCAGAAATCATGGGCATAATATCCATTGAATGCTTTTAATTTATTTCATACGAAACCTCAGCAGGCCGAAAAAAAGTTAGGACGTCATAATTAGCAAAACAAATGAATGGCAGGACGAAATGCAGGACGAAAAAATGTCAAGATTTAAAATATGCTCTAAAGTGAATGAAGATTTTGCAAATAGTTTATATTCCAGGGAAAAGCAGAGCCGTACTTATTTTTCTAAAAATATCTAGTCTGCATTTCTGTACGGACACCACTGGTTGAAACTTCGAAAATTATCTACATCAAAAAGTGTCTGTATATACATCACGATTCCACTAGTGTCTCCAATTCGGTCTCCAAGATGAGGAAGTCTCTCATGGGGATCACAGGAAAACATAAGAAGGTATTAAAATGATTAAATTAGAGAAAAGTCGAGAGTTTTCATAAGAGTTTTCACAATGCTATTCAGGGTACTGGAAAATTTTGCTACTTTCGAGGATATGCGGTTTCGAGTTCTTATTTTTCTGTCTCTGAATATATTTGAAAAAATATGACAAAACGAATTCCGCATTCTAATTGCGGTTTTCTCCTCTACATGGATCATAGAAAAAATATTTCTTAACAATATTATAAAGATATACGGCACAATATGAGTCTACATTATTTGGATCGCAAAAAAAAAGTTTTTACTGCATTTTTAACGTTTTAATGTAGTAAGTAGACGTTGAAATGTAAATTTAATGTAATGTATTATCTACTTTGGTACTATTATTTCTCTTGCTAAAGTGTTTTATTATTATTATCCAGAAACTATGAAAAGAAAATTGAAACAGGTAGAGCCGTAGCGAAAAAAAAAAGCAGGGGGGGAGGGAATCCAAATTTTCCCAGACCCACCAGCAAAATTTCCCAACTTTCGAAAAAATTAAAGCCAAGGGATTAGTTACTACTATAATATATTAATTTTCTTACTTAGCTACCCAAAGATTGGCTGAATGCTTATGCCTATTAGGATATGCACAAACAAAAATAAATTTTGGTAATTATAAAAATAATAATGGGAATTATTCTACTTTGGACCAAGGTTCTTGGTCTTCCACCATATCCCCATGTATAGGAATATTCAATACAAATGAAATGAAATGCTTTATTCAAATAGGATACATCCTAATATATACAACAATGATAGTAATGTTAACATTAATATACCATATAAATGTATGCATTTTTAACTCCAACCATTATTGTTCATAATATAACTAAAGTTTTCATACCTACTTTTATATTTCCTTTCGAATTCGAATGTTATAATTAGTTGTACTAAATAGCAATATTTTGCATGTCTCTCTTCTTTGCCTTTAGTATTTGAAAACTGGAATTTCTGAAAGATTGTACATTGTTTTTCCTTTTGGTTTTCTCATGCTAATCCATTGTTTTTCCTTTTGGTTTTCTCATGCTAATCCATTGACATCTTGCCAATGTTCCGATTTTTTCACTTCCTGATAATTTATTTTTGGCACTTAGCACCATTACCAATTCCAGTCTTCAACTTTTCAGGCACAACACAAAGAAAAACTCTGCATGGTTGAGTGAAAAACGAGTGAAAATATAAGATTCGTAATGTGGTTTTTTTGATGATTTTGATGTTTTCGTTCGTTCAAAGTACAATGGATGCAGTTTTTCTTAGATAAAACTATACCACTTTTCTTGAAAATATGACACTTCTTCAGAATATCTGTAAGGCCATTTTAGCCACCTGGAGATATTTTAATTTATTCTACTTCTTAGGCTAACAGAAGCTTTTTGAATTTTCACATTTATTTTCAGGCTAATGTTCTCAATTCCCACATTTTTAGCTAGCAGAACCCAAAAACAGAAAAAAAATGCTGAATTAGGCTACGACATAATTTTGGGCTCACTTTAGGCTCATATTCCCCCTGTCACCGATTTTTCATACCATTAAGCTGGCAGAACTAAACTGAAAAACGTCAGTTATTGGAAATTAAATGTTCAATTGGAAAACAACACACGAAAAATCGGCAATAATTGAAAACAGGAACTTGAAATGTGTCTAAAATTATGATGTAGTCTGATTCAAGACATTTTATTTTGTGATTGGGCTAGCAAAACCTAAGATATATCCGTTAAATGAAGAACAAGCAATTCGGAATACGGAATAAGCCCAAAATTCGCCTAATTTTATGACCTAAACATAAATATCAAAATCCAAAGCGGTTCAGCTAGAACAGGAGTAACGATTTTCTGGTTTTATTGACTGAAAAAAGCGAATACCCTATCAATGTTAGTGTTGATGAGTCATTGAATATAATGAAAATGTTGACAGAAAAGTACCTAATCCAAAATAAGAATTCAGGTTCCTTCCATTGAAAAAGATACTTGCCACTTCATAATAAAGGTTCAATGAAGTAGATGCCAATAACATATGAAGACAAAAGTCTTAGATAAGGATAAGGGGTCACGGGTGTCATATGAAACTTATCACGCTGTTCAGTTCTATAAAATCCTATTAGATATTGGAGCAAAATGATGACTGACTCGAATGGGACTAACCTGTTTCCGTTTGATGATCGGATCGACGACGGGCGCAGGAAAAGCCAAATGTCCTTCATACTGATCTCTCATATCGTTCAGTATCTTCACAAATTGGCCATGCTCTGCGTGATCCAGAGGTACATGCAGGTACCTTCTCCAGTTACAAGAGTCGAACCCCCAATGCACCGTTCTGTTCTCCAAGTACCTGTGCACATGACAAACGAACTGTTGGGGCGAAAACCCCATCTGGCAGTCCCCACATTCGATGCATTTCGCGTTTTTGCTGGTGTACAACTCGGGGAAGCAGGACCCCCGGGACCTCCCGAAGCACTCGTGGTGGACGGGGATAGACAGCGCTCCCTTTCGGGGCTTGATCACGGAAGTCACTTGCCCGTACAACAAGGCACTGCACAACCTCTCTGCGTCCGTCTTCGTTATCAAACCACAACTCGGAGCACCGCTGGGCAGAATCCCCTGGTTTTTGAGCACGTTCAACTGCTCCGGGGTGCATCTGGAGCAGTAGATCTGCAGGTGATCGCACTCCTGATTTATCTGAGCCAGGCTGAAGTCCCGCAGGACCGAGTTCAGGATCTGGGGCAGGCAGAGACGCTTCTCGCCGCCTACTACGAAACACGAAATGGACTCCCCTTCGAGGATGGTCTCGGTACGTTCGCTGCAAGTGTCCGGAATCGTCAGGATCGGAACCTGTTGGACGGGAAAAAGCAGGGGGACGAACTTTTCCTCTTCGATTTCCGGAGAGAGGACTTCATTTTTCGGTACGACGAGGGACAATCCCGGCCCTTGCAAACTCTTCGTCGCACTGTGCTGGTAATTCTTCAGAACGCTCTTCAAGTGCGGGGTCACTTCCATGATAACAGTTCCGCGCCGAATTATCAGTCACTGAAGACTTGGTTGCACAGCACAGAAGTGTCCATTCTCGAATTGTTGATCCAAATTTCACCGTCACTATAGTCACTTCACCGAGGTCGATTCGGAATCATTAGACGACACGTAACATTATGTAATTTAGCACCGATTTTGAACGTTCAGCACAAAGACTCGTCCAGAAATTGTTTACCGCTCTCTTTCTCTGTCTAGTCGCGACTCACACCACTCAACCAACACGACTCGTGTCTGACTGGCCGGTTTAATCGTCTCGACACTCGACGATTTGCAGACTGTCGCAAGGCGCAAGCGCGTTTCGACCAGCACTATTTCACGATTTATTTCGCACAACAACTTCCGATTTGATCGCAACCCTTACGTGAATCCCAGTTCGACTTCACCCGTACGAAACGCAATCGAAATACACCGGGATGAACACCAAAATCCGCGAATATCAAACGACCCGAAGAGCCATGACGCAGACGACTTGCAGTAAAGTGTGCGGTGGAAAGTCTAGCCAGACCCCCGCAGGTCCCCGCTCGGCAAGCAGACACTGTAGCTATCACGTGATCGACCTTCCCGTCAAAATAGGCGTCGGGCGTTCGCGTCGGAGGGTGGAGGGGGTTGTGCACGTGCAGCGAAGTGGCTAAACGGTCCCCATGATTGTCAAACTCTGGTACGGGATTCCTGTAAACAGGGTGATGATGGGCACTTGCTTCTCGTTTGGGGTGTGTGACCTCAGAGAAGACAAACGTTTCGAGGTGCGGTCAACCGCACAGCGCCGTACCTTTACGCGCTCATACTGGCCCACTTGGATGTATATATTGAATTGTGCTTCGTTGACAATTGCCTTATCACTTTTGTTTGTAAACATAAACATGCGTATTTATATATTGCGACACGCGTAGGTGCAGATATTCTGTAATTCTATGAAAATCTGACATAAGTACGGGAATCGAATTGGTTCGAGGTTACGTGAATATATTCGTTTCTCATGCAAAATTGAAAGTTGATGAATTCAATCGCAGGGTATTTATTTTACACCTCTAATATTCTGAGATACATAAATGGGCACCCCAATAAGTTTCTATTTTATTTATTACTAGCGACCCTCCGTGGGTCGCTAGTAATAAGTGGTTTTTCATATCTTATTGCAATACTCGGATCTGTTTGCAAATATAGAGCTCATTTCAGTTGCTGGTAATGCAGTATGGCCAAGAATCTTTACACGTGAGTCATCAATTTGTGTATCAGGAATTGGAGTTTAATATACGTTCAAAATATAAGGTGAATGGTCAAATTTCGCAGGCTATATACTTTCGATTAGCGATTTTTCATGTTGGTATACTCGTCTCAAACATATATATTCACAGGTTCAGCTGTTTAGTTTGTGTTTTGCGTTTTTGAAGATTTTATGCTATGGATCAAACAATTTGCATCAAAACCAATATCAAATTCGTAATTGTTTGTCCAAAAACAACACCGTAATCATGCTGCAGCCACCGTATTCACCGGATTTGACCTCCTGCTTCCAAGATTGAAGAGGTCCATGAAAAAAAAGCATTTTGCAATGACTAAGAAGAGAAAACCCGAAATCGCTGAGGGAGTTCGAGGACATACCAAAAAGTGCATATCAAACTGCTTCAAGGACTGGAAAAAACGCTGGCACATATATATTATATCTGACAGGAACTACTTCAAAGGGGAGATAACAGAAATTGATGAGTAGATGAAAATTCACTTTATTTTTCACAGAGTAATATATTATGTATCCATTTTTTTCAAGGACAAAACACAAGCACTACAGGAAAATCCTCAAGGCACTCTTAGAGCGGTGCCTGTGCGAAATTAAAGAAATTTTAAAAATGTTCATGTCCTTTGTCTTCATGACCTTGAGTGGTCTCAAATTACAACTTTTAGGACTATGAATGAAACAAGTCATTAATTTCTTTTATACTTCTTCATTGTTTAGTATGTAATAGCCTTCTAATACCGACTAATGGGTATGACTGAGTTAATTCATCCCATTGTTGACAGTTTATGATTGATGGTGTTTGTTTTAAAAAAATGTGAATTTCATGTTAGTTAGTACATGTGACTTTTATATACTAGAAAAGAACTCATTTGTTGAGTTGACTGAGTAATTTTCCAATTTTTGGGACAAATAAAACCTCACTGACAATAATAATAATTAGACCAAACGTTCGAACGATATCTGCATATTATTACAACGTGCAATGTGTGTATGTTTGTCTGTCGTTATAGTTATCTGAGTGACTCCATTTTACATCCAACATGACCGAGCGCCAAAAATGGCAGACTAATCTGGCAATGCAGTTATAGATATCAAAAGTTAGGGTTTGTTGAAAAGATTACATAGAATGAAATTAAATCACTCTAAATCCAATATGACGGACTCCCAAAAATGGTGGACCAATGGTTTTTATGCACTTCTATGCTTGAAACACTGTTCTGAACCAGAAAACTGTACAGACCTCAGCAACTTTTGATGCATTATAAAGCTCAAATCAGACCCGTTACTTGATGAAAATTAATAAAACTTTCCATGACGACAATTTCACAATTTTCACGAACATTTCAATTACCCTTCCTCTCTGTCCCCCACGGGGTTGATTGCCTCACAAGATTACTGTCTGCAGAAGCTTCAACCTGCTGATGGGCACTTCAGCAAGATTGACATCTGACCTCCTGCGGTAGAAAATCAGACTTTCGGTACTTTCACTTTCGTTCTGTCGATTTTGATTTGTCGTGATTTTACTGTGTGTAATGTTTGCATGGAAGTCCCCTTAACATTACCTGAGACAAGTGTCTATCGGTCGCAAATCACGTGTGTGTATATCTGTAAGAAAGTGTGTGTTAGTAATCTGTTATATATACTTACCGGAGCCGCCTGACAGCGACTCTCAGAGCTGCACGTTGGTTCTGCTTCGTGGGCCTAATGTGTTTATCCCTTTCGCGAAATCTGTTGAGCGCTTCATATTGTTTCATCAGATTTAATTTCTTATTGAAATTCTCCGTGGACATTGGTATGGTAATTAGTCTGTGAATCATACTGTAGTAAGATGCTAATTTATGGGTGATTAGAATAGGTGTTTAGAGTTGTGAATTTGATGTTTCCATGAATAGAGAGGAGGTATCTTTATCATGAAAATATCCTAATAACCCTTTATTCTTATCATGTCAATATCAACTGACTTTTGATATAAGGTGGTATTCCTGACTGGGATACATATACCTCAGGTTGTGTGTCTTCGTTCTGCAAATATTTGGTGTGAAGATTATCAAAAGTGTGAATCACTCACTCAGTGAGAAAATGGCCTTCGAGTGACTAAAAATGTGAACGTACTATGAACATTTTCAATACGAAATATGAGAAATACGACACCTTGAAGGTCAAAAATTACACGTGAAAAGTATAATATAGAACAAGACTTGTTTTTCTTATTTCCTTGTTTTCCATTTTGCAAAATATTCTTTTTTAAAGCACACACGAAAAACATTAAAATTATTTACATTTATTTTCACTAGTATCAATGAACATTTCTGTATTCATCTGTATTTTATTATATTTTTTAACAATATCGCAGTAACTCTGCATATTTAGAAGTGTTCTGTGTGCCTATGTAGGTTCTGTGGTATTCTCTGCTCTCCGAGAAATCTGGACAAGTTTATGTTTTGTGATATGTGATTTGATTGACAACTGACAATGGTAATTGATTTTTCCCTCCATTGGTCTACTGCGCCGAAGGTAAGCAAATATCATAAAAACAAGAAGAAGAGAAGAGAGTCTTCCAATGTCACTAACAATGTGCTCTTCATTCATGTGAAAATATGTTGGAATTTTGTTGCTTTTGTTCGAATTTATTATTCGCCGAAGAAAATTTGCAAGGGAACGTTCAGTTCACTTGCAAGTTATGTCCTATTTACTTTCGTGTGAAAAAGCTTAAACTGCACAAGAATTACTCTGAACTCAAGGTACAGAATAACTGATAAACAAAAGTTCTCCATAATAAGGTTTTTTTTTGTAGAAAATTGATGATATCTTAGGAGGTGAAGAAGCTTGGAAAAACGTCGATTCAACGGAAGAACGTTGTCCAAAGTGCAGTCACGATCGAGCATATTTCCTGCAGATGCAAACAAGATCAGCTGATGAACCTATGACCACATTTTATCGTTGCTGTAACCCAGAGTGTAATCATTATTGGCGAGACTGATTCGATCAAATGCTTTTGAAGTTGAAAACATTGCTTGGTTCTACAGGTAGACTCCATACTATGTAATTGAATTTTTCGAATAAAACATCTCAGACTCGACTTTTGAGAATTAAAATCGGAAGAAAACAATGTATGATCCTAGTAGGTTGTTGTTTTTACTGTATTGCTTCGACCTGATAGGTAGAAATACACCATTCAAGGGCAACTCGTCTAATTCCGTAGTGCTGAAGTTTCTGCAACAGTATTTCATGATACAGACAAATGCTTTTGATAAATCACAAAATATTGCCGCTGTCATCTCATCATTTTTCAACTCAGTGTATACTTTTTTTAGCTATGAGAAAATGGCATCATTGGTATTTTTGCTGTCTTGAAAGCCAAACTGGCCATGACTGAGTTCGGTAGCAAGTGGCCATGATGTCCAGTGACTAGTTGGGTATATTTTTGTAAATTTGAATTTATATATTGATTCCCTATTTTTTTTTTTTGGTTTTTATAGAGTTGATAATTCCCTTAACTTAATGGACTAGTCACAAGGCAAAAAACTTCAGAGGTATACAATTCAAAATATGAAAAATATACATATAATCGGATTAAAATTCTTTACAATGTAGTGTCTAAAAAACCCTTTAATGGAGTAAAATGATTGATTTATCAGATAACAAGTCAGATTATCCTTCAACACATTTGAACTCGCTGAGCTTAAATGCGGGAATATATTCATAAGTCGGTTATATCACCTGAGTCCTTGGTATATGTGAGAGTCCTGACCAATGCTCAATCTTGAGTATGGCTGGTGGATGATCTCACAATTTCTCGTACTGTGTTTGTTTACATCACATCTTCAACTCATGTTATTTTCTTTTTTTTTGACATTGATGATAATCAAAATTGTGTAAAGTGAAGGAACTGTTAGACTCGACAGAAAAAGTTACTATAATTCTGTGACTTGATCGTTCAAATTGTGGGGCTCCTACTTTTCGAATTTTGACCGTTCCATTTCATTTAAAACCATAAAAACCGCATGGAAAGTGATGCCCAGTTCTTCCACCATCCCATGCACCGTTTGTGATGGGTCAGTCTCTATCAGGGTCCTCAAATCCTTGTCATGAATTACTCTAGGTCATTTCATAAAGAAAAATTGGCCTAGTATCGCTCAACGACACCTACTCTATCGATCAGTATATACCACGAAACTGTAGAATTAATATTTATTGAGATATGGAGCTACTGAAATACATTATATTGAAACAGACAAAATTTTTGAACTCAAAGTAAAGTCAAGCATGTGAAAATGAGTAAAAGCACTAAAAAAACAAATTTATATGGCGAGAATAATATAAAGGATGAATATAAGTAATAAATGACTACATTAAGAATTTGATGTATACTTATTTTCAAGTAGCTCTTATAAGATATTTGAATTTTGACAGGCCTATACCTGTGATATCTAATGTAGGGTTTTTTCATTGAACATTCCAAGTGAACAATCGATAGGAGAGAGCATTCTATAGCTTGTATGATGGAAGGAAACAAGAAACAAATCATTATTTCTGAGAGTTCTCTTTGGCACATGTAAGTGAATCCTCTCGAGAAGTCCCGTGTATGTAATGAGGCCATTCATTAATTTGTATGTAAATATAAGGCCAGCACTCTCCCTTCTTCTGCTCAACAAGTCTAGGTTAAGACTGTTCAAAAGAATTGCATAATCATGATTGTCAATGTGCATATTCATTTTATAAGCACAAAATCTAGAGAATTTATGTTGGACTCTTTACAATGTGAACAGTGATTTATATACACGAGCCATATTCTAAGTGGAAGACTATTGAGGCAAGATACACTGTTCTCACTGAATTGATTGATAAAAATTTGCATTGGCTGATGTTCATGTGTGAATTGTTTTCAATACACCACCTATCCAAGCTATTTATTATGTTGTAACAAAGAACATCGTTTAATGATTCTATCACTTTCTTCTTGCTTATTGATTGATATTATTACAGGTAGATTATCAAAGATGGCATACTTCGAATCTTCTCCGACAACTGCTCATATTTCCATAACAGATTCCACAGTTGAACTGACAGCCGTGAATTATCTTAAGTCTGGATCTGTCATAGCCGTACCAACAGATACAGTTTATGGATTGGCCTGTGATGCAACTAATAAATCTGCGATAAATCAACTATATAAGATCAAATGCAGAAACGAAAACAAGCCTTTAGCAATTTGCCTGAACGAAGTGAGTAGAATCGGATTATGGGCCAGCGTTCACCATCTTCCGTCGAATCTGCTGGGGGCCCTATTACCAGGACCGGTTACCGTTATTCTTCAATTAACAAATAACACGCTAGACAAGTCGTTGAGTTTGAATGGAAAAGTTGGTATAAGAGTACCCGATTATGATTTTATAAGGAATATTTCGTGTGGTTTGGGCAAACCCTTGGCACTAACTAGTGCTAATTTCAGTAATCACCCTAGTGCTGTGGAAATTTTACAATTTAAATCGATTTGGGATAAAATACCTGCCATATTCGACGGTGGTAAGTTGAATTATAATAACGAACCGTCAACTATCATTGATTTGTCAGAGTCCGGAGTATTTAAAATAGTAAGAGAGGGAGCTGCTTTGGAAGAAACCATCAGTATGCTGAGAAAATTTGGATTGAAACAAATGTTGTGATATTAGTGTTTTTAAACTGAGATGAGAGGTACAATCAATTTCTATCATTTGTATCTCCAGTATTAGCTTCTTTATCTCATGACAAAAGAGTTTAGTGAGTAATTGGTATTTTAAAATACTATAACAGCACCAGTAGTGAGAATATGAAATGTATTTTCAATAAATCGATGGATGTAGCCGTTACTGGCAAGTAGGAGATCATCATGAAAAACGAGAAATAAAGGTTTATATTTTTTTACCACTTGTATTTGTAACTATCATTACTGCAGTTTCGTCCTATAAGGACATTTTCAAATGAATACAACAAGAATTTATTGTATTTACAAATGCAAGTGGTAGAAAACATGAAGTTTTGTTTCATCAGTTCGGACTTCCATTGTTCAATGAAATATAAATTGATTTGAAAACCCTGAAAAGAATCAAAAAGATTATCGGAAAATAACAATTTTATTAAACAAAAAACTGAAATTACAAAGAAATAACATACANTTCCGTAGGTTCTCTTCACGCACTTGAAATATTCATCTCTCCCAACTACCTACACACTAGGTTCTGGCAAATGCCTGCCGGAAAACAACTACTTTCCGGGCTAATACCGCCCTGGATATTGAATTATATCCGACAGGCATTTATGCAAAGATACTTCACAGTACCACAGATGTTTCTAGTTCATCCAGCAGCAGGAATATTGGTACATGAGATGTTTCTTCCCCGCTTGGTGCTTTTTTCACGAAATGGAACTGTTGGATCTTACCTGCACTGATGAGAGGTGATACCTTGAAACCGGTCTGTAGATGATACACTTGAATAATTTCACTATGATCCTGTTGCTGGATGAATGAGACTGGCCTCTGTAGGGTATCTAGCATATTTGACTGTGGGATATAATTCAATATCCAGGATTGTATTAGACGGGGAAGTAGTTGATTTCCGGCAGGCATTTACCAGAACCTACGGTGTAGGTAGTTGAGAGAGATGAACATTTCAAGATTTTATTTTGAAAAATGTATTCTCTTGTAAGGCAAAATTTAACGAAAATGTGCCAGAAAAACATACGTTTCATTAAATTAGGTGTTTCGGTTGGCGTGAGTGCTTTGTTCCACTCATTCAATGGACCGTCAGGTGACACGGTGGTTCAAGCCGCGAGGCCTATCATCCAACCCGTGCTAGGAATTGGTAGATTTAAACCGATAAGAAATGATAATAGGTTGAGGGTTAGGTTGGTTGAGGTTAGGTTGAGAGTTGAGGCACAGTGTAGCCATAACATGGTTGAGAGGTTTGAGACGTTTTATGGCGCTCTGGTATTCAATACATCTGTCATCTATCTCACTAGTTTTGTTTGGTCCTTAGTGACAGAGAAACAACAGCAAACTCAAAACTCATAATTCTTATATTGTGAATTTCGATTTCCACTGTATCATTCCCTTTCTGCCAAAATACAGTATTGCCGTCTCGTTACAACCAACAATTGACTTTTTAATGTCTATACCGTAATTCCCCTGACTTTTTAGGAATTCCTATTCGCCTTGACTACTCCAGGTCGCTGGGCAACTTTGATCCTGTACTTTAAGGGGTCTCTCAAGTATTACCTAACCAGAATTTTATTATTCTCTCCCCCTCTTTTAAAACATATTGGTTTTCTACTCTTATTTTTTACAGTTTTCATTTAGTTATATTAGTTCTTGATTTTTTGTTCCCAAATTTTCATATGATTGAGAAGTAGAAAGCCAATAACATATTTCCAAAAATATTCCTTTTTCAGTTGAAATTTTCCTCTACTTTCATATGCTTTTTTAGATAATGTTTTTAGAGATCAATATTGTAATAAATGTTATTAAAATTTGTTATAAAATATCGAATGTTTTGATTTTCCTGATTCTTGTTAGTTCACCAAATAAAAATTTACTATATGTGATAAAACCAAAACATGTGTTTTTCCCAATCACCCGAAAAGCAATACTTTTCTCGACACGTATTAAGACATAGCAAGTGGTTCAGCTTGCCTTCATAAATAAAGCCAGCTTCAGAAAAAAGTCTTTCGCTGTATACACTGCTGCAAGATATATTTTGGCAAACTATGTCAAATTTGGGTAATGTTTAGCATTAGCTGTCCACCACGAATAAGGGTCACAATTGTGGTTAATTCCCACAGACTCTAGATAAAAATCAAGTTCATATGATATCGCGTTTCTTTCTTCACGTTGAACCTGGCTAGTATCGTTTTCATTTGTTCATCAAAGGAATCCCAAAACGTGTCACGAGCTTTGCAAGATACAGCGGAATCTGCCTCTTCTCCTTCTAGCACCCCCAAGTAATTTGTTTTCAATCTCGGCTCTAGGTAAGTTACAATCAAGTAGTTTGACTCTTGACTAATGGAGTCAAAACGAGCTTCTAATTCAGCTTTCAACGAGATACGAAAATGTGATAAATCAACGAAATTGGACCGAGTCCACCCTATCATTAGCACGCCGGCTACGTAAGTGCGTTTTTTGTGATGCACCAAATGACAACGTTGCACCATATATTCGTCGGTCGAATATCCGGCTAAAATGCTATCAGTTTCATCTCCAAGTTGAATATATTTTTTACAAAAAGTTAAGATAGTTCTCTACCCCTGTATCTATAGAGTAGGGAGGGTGAGAGTAAGCCCACAGCACTTAGGCCACATGTGACACATTGTACATCCTCCCGAGGAGTTGTCCTCCTAGGTCATCGTCCATCCTGTCCTTTCCAGGAAGGTGGACAGGTCACTGGGAGACATCTCCTTCATATCGGCAGGTGTAGGCCAAGAACACACACTCTCTTATTGACAATAACTCCGGGCACTCGCATAGGACATGCCTGACAGTCTCATCTTCTTTTTCACACATCCTGCATCGAGATGTGTCCACTAGTCCCATATTATGGAGGTTGACAGTGGCCAGTCAGAAATCCTACTGTTAGCGTAGATTTTTCCTGGTCATCGCCAGATATTTCTTCGGCGCCAGCTTCTCAGGGTCGCCCAGGGTGATCCTGGCAAGATTGCATCCTTTGATTCCATCCCATCTCTTTTGTCGAAGTCATCAGGCCAAAGATGCCACTGGGTCCTAAGATTCTTAGTCCAGCCGCTTCCTTGGCTAAAGAGTCGACAATGCGATTACCTTTACTCCTGTCATGCCCTTTAACCAACCTCAAGATAATGTTATTATCTACCGAGGCTTTGGCTAAATCTTGGTGGCACTCTAGTACTAGCTCTGAGATAACACGTCTGTTCAAGGCTGATAGGGTTTGTCTTCTGTCAGTGTAGATTCTTATGTTTTTGCCAAAAATTCCTTTCTCTGGTATACCAGATACCAGCCAGTTTTGTTTGGACCACGCAGGTATTTTCCCCATTCCCCACTTAATCCTTAGGCTTAGTGATCTGGAGTACACTCCACATCCTGAGCCTTCTTTGGTTTTTGAGCCGTATAGATATATGCGTATTGCATTTGTAGCATCTGACTCTGTGTTGTTTTATTTGTATTTTGTAGGGGTTATTAAACACAAGACTGGGTTCAATTGTATCACTGGTTGCCTGCAGCAGAGGTTGCGCAGTAAGCGCTTCTTGCCATAGACTTAGCCTCAATTGACCAGGCCGTTGCTTGTAGAACTTTTGGTCCCCATGCAATGGCTTCGTACGTTAACAAAGGTCTTATTATTGCAGTGTAGATCCAGGTGACCACACGGGTTGAAAGACCCCATGCGCGTCCCACTGTCCTCAGACATTGCTCATAAGTCACATACGCTCTTTTTGCTCTACTTTGTAGGTGAGATTTCAAAGTTAGCTTCCTGTCGAGGATAGTACCAAGATATTTCACCTCTTCAGGGAAATTTAGTTTGCTTTTAAAGATTTCGGGAGGTTTTAAGCCTTTGTCTTCTTGGAATTGATGGACAGTGAGTGTTCCTTACACTACCCCTTTTTGTACATTAATCAATATTGCAGTTTGAAGATATCTAAACAATATCCATCCAACAAAAAGTAACTCAACAAAGATTGATGCGTGATAAAAGCATGCTCACCACATACATTTGCATCTATTGGGTAAAATAAACAAGCTTATTTACGTTGGCCAATCACGTTTAACTGCAATCGGCTGGCGGAATTCATTGTTACAGTATCCTAGTGGTCAGTTATGTTTTAACACCTATGCTGTGTACATATACGGTATTTTAAAGTTATTTTTAAAATGTCAAATACTGATACGGCTGAAGAAACTGCTAATTTGTGTCCCTACACTCCTAAACATTTTTTCTATACCCAGCCGCATATTAATTTTTGGTTGTTCCTTAGTGCGACTCTGTACAAGCAGCCTTGCTTGGGGGATCACGTGCACTATGCAAAATGTTTTGTAGCTTAGAGGGGCAGAGTATATGATTACTCCAGTTTTAAAAAACATAAAAAACAATTAGGAGGATATTCAAATGGTTTAAGGGTGATAGTTCCTTACGATTTTATAGTTCAATAAAAATTATCGACATAATTTGGGTCAATTTCTATTGGAAGCAGGATTGTTTTTGAAAAAAAACTGAATATAGTTACCAGGAGCATTCACACAAATGAAAAACGTACTACTTATACTCATGGAGCCGTTTATTAATAATACCTAAGTAATATGTATATAATTATTTATAAAGTTATTAACATTTTATGTGTATTCACTAATTCAACTAATGTCAATAAAATATGTACAAATTTGATTAACTATATTCCCAATTCCCTAAAATTGACATATTCTTACAACAGTAACTATTATTTACAGAACGTTCTTTTACTTCGAACGTGAATGCTAGTTTTGAACGATAGTTAACAGTCCTAAACCTGTCCAGTTCAATAAAAATATATATGTTCTTTAAATAAGTATATAAGTATAAGTAATGAAATTACTTAAAAAAATGAGAAAAACGATAAAAAATACTGTCATCTAAAGACATTACAAAAATTTTGCAAAAGAAGTATACAAATGCAGCAACAAAATCACACTTATGACTGAATAAACAATCACATATCTAAACGAACAAGAAAAATGTTGAGCACTAGAGTTAATTTTGCTTTTTATCATGATTTTTCAAAAATACGTCAAAAATTTACAGAATATTGAATGGACACAGATCAGAAATAGTCCGACTTAGAATTCGAAACTTGAAATTAACATTAAATATGATATTTTCCATTCCTCTGTACGTCTATAATTTGAAAAAAAGATATTTTGAATTTAAGGAAAACGAGTCAGTGTTTCAAATAAACTTTGAAACTGTCAAGTTTCAAAATAAATAAAAACTTCCAGGCAGATGTGAAAGTCTATTTCTCTTCAGCGAATGAAGGGATAAGACGTCTTACTAACTTTTCAAAAATACTCAAAAGAAGACTTCAAATTTCAGATCATATATATTTAAATACGACCGACTCTTCAGAAAAAAATAAATTTCATGTAGATTTTCTGAAAATTATTCCCACTGAGCTGTAAAGATCTTGAAATATTTGCGAGTCTGAGGCAACATTTATAAGATACGGTTTAATCTTTTGGCCCCAGTAACATTTTCGAATACATTACAGGTTAGTTAACATTTATATACGTACAATTTGGTTAATCAACAGTTTTGCTAGATCTAAGTAATATCAATCAACGGTCCTATGCAACAGTTCAAGAAAAATTTGGAAATGTGTGACGGCTCATTTCTCTTGAGAGATCAGTTAATGTCATAGTTTGATGCTGTGTTGCATAAAATCGTCAAAACTGAAAAATTGACAAAGGAAAGTTTTGATTATTCAATAAATTGTTTTATGTACAAATTGTCCTAAGTTTCTTGGCGATATACTCTTTAGTACTCACAATGTCCTCGCAACCATCCTATATATCCCTGTCTTTGGCAAAGAGTTAGAATATTATGCAAGATTTGATTATATTGCTGTTTTCAACATAAACCTTCAGGCAGAAGGACACACTTCAGTGGTTATTAGGTTGACAATCCCATCTGGGGAATGAGGCCATAAATTCTGATACAGTAATACAGGTCTTTGAAAAATTTCGTTAACCGAAAGTTGTCTTGGTAAAATGTTATATATTTTTTTGATAATAAAACCGAACTTTGAAATGTTCACGACCAGAAGTCCAATAGGTAATGTGGTTATACAGGCAAGGCAGCCAAGGTCCAATGGAGAGATTGGCCCCGGACAATTTGCCCATTACTGATATGGATATCTTCAGCGGTGGTTCACTGTTAGTAGATTCGAGCATCTATGCTGAAGAAATTCAGCAAGTAAGCTTACACGCAGACACTCATCATTTGCTAAATTTAACTGCCCTACATCCAGAAAGTCACAAATAAGATGTAAAAAAATTCTCAATTGACATGTAGTGAAAACGCAAAACCATCTACTTATCTCTGGTCGCTCAAGAATCGTAAAGACCCTCTTCCCAATCCTTGCTCAAGTGTTAGAACTTGCTTGAAAGAACATGAAAGACCCTGCCGTCTGAACCAGGAAGCCATAGAGATTTCTAAGCATCGAAACAACTTTAATAAAAAATGACGAGGATCGACATAACATGGTACTCAGCTTTGCGCTGATGCCCTATCAAATCTGACTCCTTCTGTGCCAATCAGGAGAGTACATCGCACAACTTCCCTTCTATAAATATCAGTAATGCACATTATAGGGTCTCATTAACGAGTCTACTATGGATTACTATCGATCACCGCTGAAGATGTAGTTATGGACGAAACGTTCAGAGTTAGTCTCTCCATGAATCAAGGCTAAAAAGACCAGATAGCCACAGTTCTCCTTTCGATAACTCTTCAAATTTCAATAATGATGTTTGACAACATCTACATGTTCCAAGACATAAAGCGGCATTTGAAAATTATTCCATTCTCGAAAACAATGTATTGTTGGTACAAATTACCTTCAAACATTAATATTATAGAAAAAACTTTTTTTGGCTACCCGCTTCTCTTTAAATATAAAAAGGGAAGAGAACTTCCAAAGACAAGCAGCAAGCCAAAAACAATTCTCTAATCTCTCCAAAATATTTCTATTTCAAATAACATTTTTTTAGTTCACACAAAATCACTTTGTGTTGAATAATTTATACAGATCCTCGTTTCAAATAGTTTCACACAAGAAAATATTATTGGACATAGTAAATGAAAAATATATTAAATGATGGACAGCTATACCATACATTTGGAATTTTTTTCAGAAAAGTTGCACCTGTGAAAATCTATATTATTTGAGTAACAGAATCAAGCGTTCTCAGCGGTAAAATCTAATTGAATATTTTCTCTCTATCATCTATCCATGTGAAAACTTCAATATTGAAAATGTATGAGAATAATCTAAATGAAAA